AAACTGTTTAGTGTATAACGTTAGTATATGAAGAGTTCAGATGCAAAAGCCTCTAAATGCCATTTGAAATTTTCTTCTTTAATGATGATTTTTATCAAACTTGTATATTTAAGTTCAGTAATTTCACTTAAATAACAATTAATAGGTAATTATCATTGCCATTTAAGTGAAATTACTGAACTTAAATATACAAGTTTGATAAAAATCATCATTAAAGAAGAAAATTTCAAATGGCATTTAGAGGCTTTTGCATCTGAACTCTTCATATAGTGCATAACGTATGTATATTTGGAGTGTTTAAGTACAGCAAAGTTGAAATTATTCTCTTCAGGTCTTTCGTTTATATCTTTATATTCTGTTTTGTTCATATTTTGCAACCTGTTCAGATTTTTCTGTTCTCTATGACCAGTGGCGTAACTTTGTTTTAAAAAGTGGGTGGGACATTTGTATAAATGAATGAATCACGTGACACGTTAATAAAAACATATATCCGACTTTACCACATGTGTCCTTTAATGGTCCAGTGGAAAAGCCTATACAGAAAGTCCTGTAAAATTAAACGAATAAATTGACCTAATAATATGAATAAAAATTATATAAACAAAAATATAGGCCTACATAAAAGTTTTAAAAGTAAATTAACTATTAGGACAGAATTTTGATAACTGATTTTTTTGCGGAATGCGCACAATTAAAATTTGGATAGGCTTATAGCCTATCCATTGTACACACAAACTGCTGTACAATTAAACGAATAAATGGGCCTAATAATATAAATAAAAATTAAAAAATAAGTATATAAACAAAAATGTAAAAAAATTTAAAAAATAAAGGCCTACATAAACATTTTAAAAGTAAATTTAAAAAGTCAATTAACTATTAGGCCAACATTTTGATAACTAAACTTTTGCACAGCGTGCACACATAAAATAAAATTATGCTTATATCAATTGTACAAAAAAAATGCTGTAAAATTTAAACGAATCAATGGGCCTAATTATATATAAATAAAAATATACAGGTTAGGCCTACTGTAGGCTACATCAATGTTTTAAAAGTATGCTAAATGAACTATTAGGCAAAAATTTGTATAAGTGAACTTTTGTGCAGAGTGCACATGGATTAGGCTACAATTGGCTTATGTTGTCAAACTTTAAAAGAAAGAAATAAAGAACTGCTTTTCTTATCTAGCCTACAGTTCTTTTGCGTTCACCTTCAAGAACACAAGTTTGGACAACGCCGGCTTTAGACTCATGCGGTGGTTGCGGAGAAAACCCTCTCTGCCCTTGCAGACCCACTTGGGATGCTGAACACAATGCGAGCTTCTTTAGCCAGGAGGGGGAAAGACGTGGAGTCATATTTGTGGTGTGAGCGGTGCGAAATAGGAGCGGGAAATAGGGCGACGCTCCGTCCTTTTAAAAATGCCATTCTGCGCTCTGTCCAAGATCCGCCCGCTCGCGCTCCCCGCTCACTTCCGCTCCACAACCGTGCCACCGATCGCAGATGGAGCACTTTAAAAAACAACGTATTTCAGGGCTAGATCGCTTCTTTTATTTTACAAACGGACGAAATGAATGGTCTGCCAGTTGGAGATGTTTTATTTATTTCTACTGTTATATGTGCCGCGAGAGCTTTTAAAAAGTGGTGGGGACAATATCGACCCTGGCAAAAAGTGGTGGGGACATGTCCCACCCGTCCCAGCCGCAAATTACGCCCCTGTCTATGACGTATTTTGAACAATTACGTCACAGTATTTGTAGGCCTAGGTTCCACTATCGCGTCTGATGTAAAAGAAATCGAAAAAGATGAACAGAGAACTGCAATTAATGCATTTGTCAATTGGAAATATGTGTTTGCCATACTCCCTACGGGATTCAGATTTAAAGTTTAATTTATCAGCTGGCTTCGATGGTCGCTAAGAAGATGGGACGCAGTGAAAGCCCTGTGGTCGTTGTTGTTTCTCCTTTGGTCGCACTCGCACTCATGGAGTACCAAGTAAAAGAATACTCATTATTTTACTTATTCTAGCATGCGTGCAGTTGAGTTCTATTGCCAACTATCCAATTGAGTCTATCCAATTGAGTGCAGAGTTTTTTTTTTTGTTTTTTTTTTCCTGGTTCGGTCAAGATATGCATATGAAGTATGACGAAGTCAGGCTAAGTTATGTATGGTCTTTCAAGAATTTCAAATTAATAATATAACAATTTATGAAAAATATTTTTAAATATCAACAAAATGCTGGATTTTCGCTTGATCTATCTATCACGGTGTGGGTTTGTCTTGTCATGTTTAGTGGTTCCATGTCTGATTATTAGTCTATAGACAGGTGTTTCCCGTTAACCCTTGTTATCCTGACTAGTAAGCTTGTTTGTCCTTGATTATTTTTGAAAATGACTTTTCATATGGTGTGGAATATAGCTCTAATATTTATATCTGAAAGTGCACCGTATATAAAGTTATTGTCTTTCAAAAGTGAGAGTCGACTCTGAGTCTATGAAATGAATTGTTTTTGAAACGAGTCATTTTACATTGTGACGTAGAGAGGTCATTGGCCGCGCTCAGTTACTGCGCGCGCAGACATAAGTGTAAACTTGAAGTCTACACGTTCAAATACTTCATCATAGCATCATGTCGAGAAGACGCTGTGCTCTACAAGGCAAAGATAGTTCAGCCACTTGGTTTTCATTTACCAGGGACGAGCATGTGAAAAATCGGTGGTTAGAGTTAATATTTGCAACGATACCACAACAGTATAGCCCGATTGTGTTCCCATTATTTTAATTACGAATCTTTCAAAAACATAAATTACTTCAAATGTGGATTCGCAAGCGGTTGTTCCTGGAGGAGGGCTCAGTAACTTACTTACCCAGTGTATATGAATCAGCTTCCTCCTTCGAACCTTCACAACCTGTAAGTATTATTAATAATTGTTGCTTTTATGGGTTTTGAACAGTTTTGTAGCGTCGGGCGCGAGGAGTGAAGGCGCAATAAGTATGTGTGTGCACGAACGCGTGTGTGTAAGTTACGCTCAGCGCAGCTTCTAGGTCTCCAATGTCAATTTTTTTTAAATATGTGAAATGTTTGTCGCTATTATTGGAGTTGTCATAAAGACTAGAGCGTCTACTGCAGTGCTTTATAAAAATGTTTATGCGTTATGCTAACAAACAATAACTGACTGGGTCTGTCATCTGACCAATCACCGCCGATTAGCATCACGCAAAGGAGTGGTTTGGAAAAATGATTCGTTGTACGAATCATTTGGGAGTCGGTGAGCAAATCAGTTAAAAATAAATGCATATTATAAGACACATAAAGTGTTTTTTATCCTTGCATGCATGTTAAACTGTTTTTGGGAACTCCTAAAACAAAAATAGGAACATTTCAAATGCTATTGGGGCTCTTTAAGCCCTGTGTTTCTGCCGTGTCTTTGTGATTCCTTGTTTTATGTATGATTGCTAACACTTGTGTTGGTTGTTCCTGAGTTTAGTTCCTTGTTCTTAGTCTGGTATCTAGTCTGTATTATTTGTAGTTAATGAAATAATGTGTGCTGCACTTGGTTCCAGCCTCTTCACTGCTTCCACAACTGCAATCAATCAATCAATCAATCAATCAATCTATCTATCTATCTATCTATCTATCTATCTATCTATCTATCTATCTATCTATCTATCTATCTATCTGATGATGATGATGATGATGATATTCCCATTAAAACAATACCCAGAAACTTAATAGTTTGAAAGTGAAAATAGTAATCATCAAGTGTATTTACAAATGTGCACAGTACAGACTTCATTTTTCACCATTTTACAGGAAACTCACAACTCTTTCAATTTACATATATGCTTTCACACAATCTATTTACTGTAATGTTTTTATAATAAATATATTTTTCTAGCCCACAGAATATATTGACCATAAAATATTTTGTAATCCATTTGTATTTGAAATTGCATTCCATTTCATGGACAGCAAGACTGATATTTGCATTTACATGATCAGAAAAAGGCAAACGACAGAGATGAGGTGAAACAAGAACTGATACAAACCAACGCATTCTCATCCTTTAACGTCATATAGAACGCTATATGACAAAACGGCGCTATACTACGCACATGGCACCCGTTATCGTTAATATAACACGTGCTGTGAGGGCTAAGTTTAGGTGTGGGGTAGGGTGTGCGTGTCATATTCACGCTAACGGATTTATAACGTCTTGGGTTCGCGTGTTATATTAACGATAAAAGGTGCCATGTGCGTAGTATAGCGCCGTTTTTGCATTTAGCGTTCTATATGACGTTAAAGGATGAGAACGGGCTGTACAAACTGATAACTGATCTTAACAGCCTGAGTTTGTTCTCGAAGATCCCGAAACTCTGTACTTCACATCAAATTAATCTGCAATGTCCTCTGTCCTGATGCTTTGTCCTGAACATTCTGGTATTATTCACAAAACGTCTAATGTCTACAACAGGGGTCCTGTAATCCTGAGTCCTTTTATACTGTAGCGAGCACTGCAAAATGTATTTCAGACATTTTTACTGGAAACCAAGACACAAATACTGGCATCGCATTCAAATAACAGCCGTTCAGTAGTCTAGCTCACAATAAATGAAATGTTATTCCACTATAACTTTCAAAAGAGACATCATTGGGGTTAGACATAAATACAGTGTCTTCAATGGCTGTTAACAGATGATTTGTAAAAAGCCCAAGGGTTTTCAGGATTTCAGTTAAATAACATTGATCAGAAAGCAGCATACAAAAATCTTGTCAAGTAGTAACCCCTCCGGTTCTCGCACTGCTCTAAGCGGGATATGAACCTGCTCTTCCGGCATGGAAGGTGGTCTGTGATAACAAGGACCCTTTGACCACAGTGTCTAGCGTGAGTCACTAGAGCACCTCTTGAGGCCATGCTTGCTCACACAACACTTACTGGCCATTTAATCCACAATAATCATCCTGGAATAGCAGTTCAGGGGTAAAACAATATTGTTGTGTATATGTTATTTACAAAAAGCTTTTTTTTATTTTTTTTTTTTTTTTTGCATTATTTAACCATACCATTCAAAACATCTGGCTTGGTTGCTACCGATATACTCTGATTTGCATAAATCTCACACTAATGTGACAGAGGCCTCATTTATAAATTGCAAATACTGTATTATGTGATGCTAAATCTCATGGATTTGATCCTTTGTTAAAAGAGAAGAACAAACAGGGAACAACAAACATTCACTGTCTGAATCAACAAATAAATGAGTGACAACCTTTACATTTGCAGGAATATTCTGTTATGAATTCGATTTTTGGACAAACACTAATGATGCAATTGTCAGTGCCTTATTTTTAAAACCACCACAACAAAAGATTTTAAAAGGCCTGGAATAACATCTTGGAATAAGAACAGGAGGTTTTAATATGTCAAGTACACATTTTTGTGAGAATATGATTTTGAATCAGATTATGAGTTGCATGTAAACATGGCCAATGAATGAATATAACATTGCAAGGCTATTTGTGGGCGTTCTGTAGGATACAAATTATTATTATTATTATTTTGAAAATGCTTGCTTGTTAAACATTTATTAAATGCTTGTTTGCTCACGTTCAGAATGATTAGCCACCTTTACGCCATTGGGTTGAGTCATTATTCCACCACGGGCGTGGGATGTATAACCACTTTGTGACAACATTTTTTCAGAAACAGTCTTGGCTAGTCATGACTACTTCAACGATGCATCCGACTATGGTAGTGAAGTATCGAGTAACGTCATTGTACGGGAAACACACCTCTGGTAGAATGTGTGTAGTGACGCCGCAACTGTTGATTGGCTACCAGTTTTTTGTAGCTAGCCAAGCACACTATTTGAGCATTAGTAACATTAAAATAAATATCTCATCATCCTCCATGAAGTGGATGCTATTTACATCTCATATCATCTGTAAACTCTGGCGTTAACAAGGCAACAGCTGACAAATTTGTATTATATTCCAAAAAGCTCCATTATCAGCCCCACAGTGGAAAATTAAACCAAATCCATACCGGCTGGGCCAGATCTGCAAGGAATGGAAAGGTAAAGGAAAGAGAACGGTTTGCCCCGAAAGTGGAAAAGCGGCTATTCTGTGCACGTATTTATAAATGAGGCCCCAGATCTGTTTTAGTTTTAGTCTAGTAGCTACCATATAGTCTAAGATAATGAGAAAAAACACCACATTTTTATTTTTTATGCCACATCAGAAAAACAAAAAAACAAAAAGAGCATTCATACAGTACATAAAACAGCAGGCACTGAGCTCTGGTCTTACAGGCAGTCATTTTGGCATAGATTTAGATAAAGCTCAGAGCCTGGTTCAAACATTTACGTCCATGTGAATCATCCGTGATTGAGTCAGAGTGAAAAAAGCCAACTCATTGCATCTGGACTCCTTTTTATGGATGGCATATTCCATTTGACATCAGTGTTTAAGCAGCATCACAGCTGTGTAGGAATGTCGTGCCCTCTGAGACACTGACGTGTTGTGTGAATAAACAAGACATGTGTTTAGTCTGTGGGAACAGTGCTGGAAATCGTGCTGAAACATTGTTTTCGACCATAGCAGAAAGAGATTTCACACAAAGGCAGCTGAATTGATTCCTCACTGGCAGCATTCACACACACAAGTGAGACAAAATCACTTGGAATATAGGGTTGATGATCTCTTTCTGTCTCCAGCATGCCAAAGCAAACGACCAAAGCAGCGATGACTCGTTTGAAGAGCAGATAAATGACAGGCCACTGCATATAAGAGTTTGAAAGGCAAAAATAAAAAATGTCTCTTCGGGCTGGTGTGCTCATGTTAGATGATGAATATCTCTGGAGGTCATAGACATCCTTTTGCGTTACGCTCATGAAAGGACCGGTATTTCCAAAGTAGATCAACCTTAAATAAAAAATAAAACACTTGACATTTAATGAAACTCAGGTATTATAGATTAACAATTCCTGTGGCCAAACAAGACATCTTTTCTTATAAGTTCACAAATAGTTTGTGGAGTTCTGTAAATTCCTGAAACGGTCTTTGTGTTCTGTTTCGGCTGGAGTATTTCTTCATTGCTGATGTTGTTTCAAACTGAAAAAGAAAAGAAAAAAAATTGTCAATATTCATATTTATATCATGGCCAGTTTACTACTACTACTACTACTAATAATAATAATAGTACATTTTTAGTTGAGATCTGAGTGAGGATATAGTGGTGTCATGAAGAGTTAGAGGAAGAAAATTCCAGAGTTTCGGAGCCACAGCACAGAATGATTTACCACCCATTGTTGACAGATGAAAAAAAGGTACAGTAAGCAGTTTTAAGTCAGATGAACAGGGAGAGCGAGGTGTTGAATAATAGAGCAGAAGTCAGTACCTCCAGAAAAACGCGATTATGCGATCGCTGAATTCAATGCAAAATCAGCCAAAGTCCGCATATTTATGCGGGGGCCGCATTTTTTCAAATACGCCGCACTTTCGCCGCATAAATTGCCGATTTCCGTGCAAAATATGCGGGATTTGCATAATTTCATAATCCTCGCATTTTCGTTGCAAAAAAAGTCACATGTATCTTAGCAGAAAGTTGAAAAATGTTGCGTTTGCTTCACACAAGAGCAGCCATTTCCCCCTGTTTCCATGGGAACGTTATGAAGTGACGCAATTACGCGACGCCAGACAGACTCACGGAGGCGATTGACATCTCACAAATCGAACTCGTATTCTGTCTGTCACACGTTCTACCGTCACATATCGTTACTTAATAAACAACATAAGATAAAAGAAGTAGCATCAAACAGACATGGGGTGTTCGAGGCGCACATATAACACTGCAGAGAGCTCTTAAAGGGGCCACACCTTATTTACGCTCGTTACAGTCTGAAATAAAACAAGATGAGAAATTAAATATTCCCAGCACTTTCTATGATGTAGTATGCTTGCTTATCAAAGGAAGTAATAAGAAATGACTCTTACATTAGCCTAGTGAGAACAGGATGTTGGGGGAATCACTTTTTTTCTCTTTTTCATCAAACCACAATTTTTGCAAGTTCCCTCAATTTTTGCAAATTCCTGCAATTTCATCCATAAAATTGCATAAATATCCCGCATATTCCATCGCATTTTTAAAGAAAACGGGCCGCGTAATCAATCAATTTTTGCCCGCAACAATCACAAAAAAACTCTGTGTTTTTCTGGAAGGACTGACTACTATTATGGCAAATGTTATATATAAATCGCACATTTTTTCACAAATTTTTGGAAATTACCACCACAAAATCAGTCACTTTGATCGCAAAAATCACAAAAAAAAAATCGTGAAATCCTGGAGGGACTGAGAAGTTCAGTTAAATAATGGGGAGCAAGTCCATGAAGACATTTAAAAGTTAAATAATGGGGAGCAAGTCCATGAAGACATTTAAAAGTTAAATAATGGGGAGCAAGTCCATGAAGACATTTAAAAGTTAACAAGAGAATTAATACTGGATGCGGTACTGAAATATATATATATATAAAAATGCTGAAATATTCTGAAACTGGTAACCAATGTAGATTGTAGAGCAAAGGCCTAATGTGATAAGATTTCTTGACTTGATTGATGACTTCTGAACATATTGTAGTCTAGTGATTGTTTTAGCAGGCAGCCCAATAAGAAGGGAGTTACAGTAGCCAAGACGAGAGGTTATCAAAAATGAAGATTTTCGGTATCTTTAGTGCTGAGAGCAGGTTGCAGTCGGGCAATATTGTGAAAGTGGTATGCAGTCTTTGTAATATAACTTATATGAGATTTAAAAGTAAGCGACAAATCAAATGTTACACCCAGATTTTTATCAGTATGGAAGAGGAAGAGCAGTGACAGAGCAAGTTGATACACACATATAAATTTGCATGTCTTTGGCATAACAGAGATAGCTGAGACCATGACTAAGGGTAATGTGACCAAGAGGTAACAAATAAATATAGAACAGTAGTGCTCCAAGAACAGAGCCTTGCAGGACACCTTGAGAGAGAGAGAGCACAGATAAGATTCGAAGTTATTGACAGTAATAAGAGAACAAGATAAAGCACTACCCATGATGCCATAGCTAATAGAAGAGAGGTAAGTATGTGATAAGAGAACAGTAAGACAAACATAATCAGCAGATATTAGGAGGTTATAAGTCATTTTTACCAATGTTGATTTTTACCAACATTTTTAAAATGTTGAGCATAGAGATGAGCTTGCACCTTTTATTAATTAGCTGAGAAACAAACAAAAAAAGATTTGATATAGGTCTTATATTATTCATAAAAGAACAATCAAGCCCTGGTTTCTTTAAAATGGGAGAGACCACAGCTGTTTTTAATGATAGCAGGACAGACCCAGAATAAATAGAAAAGTTGAGCAATAGGAGATACGATTACAGATAGGCAGCTTTTAAATGGTAAATGGACTGCATTTATAGAGCGCTTTCACAGAAACCCACATTCACAGATGGCCATGCTACGTGCCTCATCAGGAGCAGCTGGGGATACTGCTCATGGATACCTCTACACTTGGTCAGGTGGAAGCGGGGATTGAATCACCAATCTTCTGGTTTGTAGATGAACCACTGAGCCACTGCCACCCATTAACTTTTAAGAAGTAGTAGAGGTAGGTGCTGGATCTAACTCGTGCTGGCTCAACTAGTAGTTTGACAAGTAGTTTGAGCAATTCGGCCACTAATAGAGGATGGATTGGTGAGCGTAAAGCAAGAGAGGATGTGCTTTAAGAGCTGAGGATGTAAGGACCAGTTAGAGGAAACTTCTGATGAGTTTGATGAAAAGGTTTCATACATTTTATTAAAAGAAGTGGTATAAATTAGGTATACATTTTACTTTTAAGTACTAGTGAATTTAACTGAAACATTTAACTGTTTTCAAAATTGTGTTCCATAAAATTACAGACAGTTTTGTTTTATTTTGTTTTCCTTTATTGAATTTTTTACAGTAAATATGAATTAAAATGATGCCAACTTTTCACTTAAATGTACTTTTTGATGTTTGTTTTCTTTTTGTCAATAGCTAAGTTATAAAACTACTTTTTCAGAACAGAAGCTAGATGAAGAGTGTTTTTAAATTTTGTAGCTTGTAAACTTCCAAACCCAATATTGTCTATGATTATAGAGGATTTAACACAATTAAAGTACCATGTTTTGTTCAATCTACATTTGTAAAAGCTTTTATCTGACTTTCTCACTTTCATAATCAATGCAAAAAGAGGTGGAAATATTGGGTCTGAGATTTCTTAATTTGCATCTTGGCAGTGAAAAAAAGAAATCCAATCCCCCATAAAATGCCTTCATTTGAAACTCGATAAAACCTGCCAAGCAGGAAGAAAGAGTGTGAGATTGTTTCAAGATGGATATTTATTGGCTTGCATGTAATGACACAGTGTAAATATTTACTCTCATATATCTAATCCATCACAGAACATAAACTGTTCCAATGAATATTTCCCTTTCTTTCTTCAAACATCAATTTGTACGCATGGAGACGCCTCAGGAGAAATGAGGAGTCTAAGTCTATAAACACCCAGGGTAGTCAGTATTCAAATTCAAACTTCAGACCTTACCTCATGCCTGTAAAAGTAACACAGCTGAACACCTGGGGAAGATTCAGTCTCTAGAGAGGTCGTTCTCAGCACCCTTCTTGTGCAAACAGGACTGAAAATAAATCTGCTCATCTGCTAGTTTGCCCTCCTGGTCTTATAATCCTTATCTCAGTCATAGAAATAAGACTAACTGAAAATACAAGAGGGGAAATTAATGCGTCAGCTGATAATGTTCTTTATTTGCATGCATTGTTTTAGAAAATCCACAACTAAAGAGATTAGGCAAATCAGGTAATTGGACAAACACGCCCACAAAATGCTGATAGCAATATTTCCTTTCAGAAATAATGTACAGAAATTATATTTTTAGCTTGTCACTCTGTCAGTACCCTCAGATGTGCAGCTTTGCACTTTCTCTTTCATTAAAATGTGCAAATTCGTATTATATTTTTATTGGAAAAGAGGAAAGAAAAAAGTTAAATGTGATTTTTTGACATTTTGACATACACACACACATACATACATATATATATATATATATATATATATATATATATATATATAAATAAATACATACATATATATATATATATATATACATATATATATATATATATATATATATATATATATATATATATAATTTTAGAATGCCTAGAGCCGTATTATTGGGTGCTATACGAATGTCTATCAAATGCGCCTGTTCATCTATCAAATGCACCTATGCTCCCTCCCCATTCTGTGATTGGTTCCCTATTTCAGGGGAAAATTTAAGTTCATGGTATCCAGACTGCCTAGCAGCGGAAGGCAGAATGGGGAGACCCAGGCTATATATATATATATATATACATATATACTGTTCAAAAGTTGGGGTCAGTGATTTATTTATTTTTTATTTTTTATTTTTTAAAAAGAATTTAATACTTTCATTCAGCGAGTATGTGTTAAATTGATAAAAAATGATAGCCAAGATTTATGTTGTTTGAAAAAAACATTTCTTGTGCAGAGTGCTTTCGGAAATACTCCCCCTTCCCCAGCACCACCTCAATAGATCTGCTATGGGTCATTCATGTACTCTACAGCAGCAGCATGTCTTACTTGCTCACAGCAGTGTGTGTATGTATTGGCAATAGCAAGTCTTGCACTCACTCTGCCGTAGCAGCAATAATGTACAGCAGCAGCATAGCAGATCTATTCTGCCAAGATCAAATATATCAACATTGTCATAACCATTACCATGCCAATCACTCAGAGAGTTGACATTACATAAATATATAAATATACATTACATAACTGTATATGTATTCACCAGAAAACACCATTGACTTTAGGACTCACAATCCTAAAGTGTGATTCACGTGTCATGTGATTTTCCGGCGCAATTATCTAATCAAACAATCACATGGCAGTTGCTTCAATGCATTTAGGGGTGTGGTCCTGGTCAAGACAATCTCCTGAACTCCAATCGTAATGTCAGAATGGGAAAGAAAGGTGATTTATTTTAAGCAATTTTGAGCATGGC